ATTCTATCATCTACAGAGATATAAAGCTAAAACTCCTGTGAAATGGCAACCCCAATTACAAAATATCTTCAGTAAAGTCCAACTAATGTAACATTGCCTTACGTTACAACTTGTGGGAATTTGTTTATATTTACATGTAGAGTAATTTGAAGTTAAATGATACATTTTTTTCAAGCCAAACATACATCCATAAATGATAACGCTAGGATCCATTGTTACGGCTTTGCTATCTCACACTAAAAGGTATCGATTATTTCAACCTTGGCTCAATCTATTGCATTACAAAGTGCTTCACAAATATAGCTCTAGATGTATATATATATGCGCTGCGATAGTCTTTGCTAACATAGACATGTCTGAATATATATATATATATATATATATATATATATATATATATATATATATATATATATATATATATATATATATATATTATAATGATTAATACTTTGAGTAAAACCTGGATGTCCAGCTGCTTAAAGCTTAACTGAAAAAAAATTCAATGTTTTATAATAAATAAGTAAACGCTTGATCCGTGATTGAAGTCTTTTTGTACCAGCATTTATTCTTTTTAGTAAAAATCGTAATGTTATGATACTCAAAAGAATATATTTCATTTTACAGCAAAATAAAGACATTATATTTTATGATAGTGGCGTGCTAATAGCTTTAATATACATAAAATAGATAACTCTAAAACATCATTTTTGCTTTTGTGTCTAGCGATTACAAGAGGAAAAAAGGAAAAAAATGTAATGATTTTCTTCATTTCTATCTCTTTCCAAAATCAATTTTAATTTTTCTAGCTAAAATCTAAAAAAAAGCGAAATGGCTTGGGTAAGAAAATCTGTTCTAAGTAAAGCGACGTTTGGTAACATTTGGAATTCCGTTTATTGTTATAATTTCTTCTCTTGCTCGGTTTTATATTTAGTTATTGCTTAAAATTGACTAGACGGTTGAAATATCTATGGGAATGGTTAGAAATAAACATTAAATTTCTCGTAAAACAGGATCTTCTAGACGCCTATAAGACTTTATTTACCATTTCGAGCAATAATAAAACTGCTTCATATTTATTGGTGTGGAGATCGTCTCTAAAAGTTTTTTTTTTTAAATTTCGTTTTTTTTTTTTTTTTTTTGCAGGAATAGTGTATATAATATACACACTGATAAAAAAAAAGATGCGTTCTTTTATTGTTATTTTTAATGTCTCACTTTAGTTGTGGATAGGTTTACAGAAATTTTGTTTCATTTTCATATTGTATGTAATTTAGTTGCTTTTTTTTTTTTTGCTTGCTTGTAGAAGCAATCCTCTCTTACCCAGAGCATGACGTCACCAAAGGGTAACCACTGCTTGTTGTTTTGAAAATGTACGTTTCAAAATACTCGGAAGCGACAAGTATAAAAGAAGAAAGGTAAATTAACAGGATAGACGACAACTGGTTCATGTATTATTAATGCTTTTAAAATATTGAAGAAACATACAAAGCATAATACTTCGTGAGTTTCATACTTCAGTTTTGAAACTGTAACAAAATAAAATGAGTTTTAGAAGTGTCATGTAAAATTAGTCCTAACAACAATGTCAGAGACTGAAAAGTTTAGCGTGCCAGTAGTCCGCAACGCACAAAAAAATTGTATATCAAACACACTGTGATTCTATGATAGTTTGTAGTGTGCTTTACAAAAGATAAAGTCTCGTTAATTAGGCCTATAATATGTTGAAATTTCACACTTTTTATTTTTAATTTAATTACATAGTATTTTCAATTCGTTTGTATTTTTTTTTCAACTGCTTCTTAATCTTTTTTTTAATTTTAGCATTTGTTTACTCTCATTCATCTGCCCAATGAATCGCTAAGCCTGAGAGGATTTTTTTCTTCTTTATATATTAATGTATATATATATATATATATATATATATATATATATATATATATATATATATATATATATATATATATATATATATATATATATATATATATATATATATATATATATTTTGAAATATTATTTCCATTTAAATTTACAAAAACTTTATTCGTTTCAGAATTAATTCAAACACCATTTGTATTGTTCTAAACTTCCGAACTGAAATGAATCCTTCATTTTTATTTAACACGACGGAGGAGCTAATTAGATTCTTAAACCTTAGCCACTTATTTTTGTATCGCCGTGATCAGCCAGACTCGACCATGACCCTGTTGATGCAAGCGTACACAGTGTCCATGTACCTGGCAAATATCTGTGGGATATTATGTAACTCGGTTACCAATTGTGATTGTGCACCGTCAAGGACTGAACTCGTCAACAAAAGTGTTTGTGTTCTCCCTGGCTGTTTCTGATTGTATCATCTCAACGTCTGCATTGCTATTCCTTTGGTCTAGATTTTATCGGACACCTGATGAAGCAAATTCTAAGAATTTTTACAGAAATCTTCACAAGTTAGTTGGATCAGCCATAACATTCAATCATTACATTATAGCTTTAATATCCATCGAAAAGCTTTTTGCCGTATTCCTGCCATTTAATGTTCTAAAATTGTGCAATCCCAAGCGAATTAAATGTATTGTTATTTTACTAGTCCCTTATGTGCTTTATTTAAACCTTTTTCAAAATTTTAGAGTTATGCAGTATTTAAACAGTTACCTCACAAATGATCACTTTTTCGTCGTCGCATTTGATAATATAAGATACTTAAATGCTTTTTCTGATTTCTATCTAAATTTTCTGGAAACAGTTGCTCCCCTTACAACGTTATGCCTATGCACATTACTTACTATATTAAAGTTGAAATATTCTACTAAAAAATTGAACGTCACCTCGACAGAATTAAAACAACAAAAAGTTATCAAAATGTTGATAATCTTATGTTTAGCTTACATTGTTTTAAATATCCCACCTAAAATATACACCATGTACAGAACAATTACATATACATTTAATATTGAAGAAGACATAGTGCGAGTTTTTGGCCTTTTCCGTTCTCTTAACGGTTCTGTTGATTTTATTATTTACGTAACAATGAGTTCTAAATTTTCATCAGCTCTTAAATGTTTTAATAAAATAAAACAATAAACGTTTGATGTCTACATATCTTCCTTTGTCATTTTTACTTTTCTAAAGTTTTGTCGTCATAGATATTCAGTATTAATATCGAAGATTCTAATTCCAGTCGATTGGGAATAGCCGTATTAGGGCTATTTACAGTCGTGACTGTTTCTGATACATATGTTAAAAACACCCCTAAAAAACCGGTAAAACATTGTGTTGCACAATCACTAAATCAGTGTGAGACACAATCATTAAATCAGTGTGTGACACAATCATTAAATCAGTGTGTGACACAATCATTAAATCAGTGTGTAATAATCACTAAATCAGTGTGTAACAATCAGTAAATCAGTGTGTAACAATCACTAAATCAGTGTGTAACAATCACTAAATCAGTGTGTAACAATCACTAAATCAGTGTGTAACAATCACTAAATCAGTGTGTAACAATCACTAAATCAGTGTGTAACAATCACTAAATCAGTGTGTGACATAAGCAAGCTTGTTTGGGTCTCAAGTTTTTTTTAAATATTCCTGAGTCTACTCAGCTTTGATTGGTACCATACCTCATATACGTTTAAGGAAGAAAAAAGCCACGGTAAGTAGTGCTGATCCAAGGCAAACGAATCAGGTGAGTGGCGATTGCCATGACTTTTCACGTGCCCATATCGAACTACTTTCATTACATTGTAAATACATGTTGATCGTTTGGTATCGCGTTCTAAACATCAAACGTTTGGAAAGCTTTTTAAAATTATTATTGTTTCACCCAGCATAAGTATCGTGTGGGAGTAAAATGAAAAAAAAAATAGAACGTGACCGGCTTTTTCGCACATTTCTCTCAATTTACCGTCTCGCCATTTCGCAATTTACCAACACAAGCCCCCCCCCCCCCCCTCAATCCCTCCCCCTCACTCGACCAGTCGTTTCTCCTGGTCCCCTCTGAACAACAACACACAAGTCATTTAACCCGATGTCATTGCCTCTTGTCGTTCCACCTTGTTGCATGTGGGCGATGATGCCGGCGGCTTTTGACTTCGTTCTTTACATACAAACTATATTATTTTTACTTTTTAAAATTGCTGAGTTAACAGCTTAAGTCCCATCTGTCAAAAAAGAAGTGCAGGGTTTTGATTTAGAATTGTGGGTTTGGATCAATAGTTAGTATATGGTGTAGGAAGATGGATATTTTATTTTTCTACGTGAAAGTTTAAATTATATAAAATAAAGAGCTTACTTTTATAATTAGATACTTAGAGTGTAATGTATAATTAGCAATTAAAAAAGTGATCAAAACATGCATTAGCATATCTAAGTGTAGCTATATGCATATTCGAACTGTACATAGCTGCAGTACAAAATACCCAAATATGTATTAAGCATTATGCAAGCAATTAGAAAAGCAAAATGTTAGATAGTATAAGGAATATTAGTTTTATTGTCTTGAACAGAAATCTTAACATCGTTTTTGTATAGTTAGTTATTATAATGGAACGGAGTGGTATAGCGATAGCTGGACCGCTAACTCGCAAGTTTCGAAACCGGGTTCAAGTCAGTAGACTGTCCCTGAGTCACCCAACTCTGATGGGTACCTAACTCACATTAGGGAAAGTAAAGGTGGCTGGGCATAGGACTCATATCTCAAGGCCCTAGTAACCCTAAATGTGTCCTGTATATACCATTTTACTTGAGTTCAATATTGTGTCACCCTATGACTTTTACAAAACCCATTCAGTTTAACAAAACTTTTAATAATAGTTACCAGAATGTACTTAGCACCTACATACTAACTCAGCTAAACAAAATGAACAAAGAACAGCTTGATTTTTAAAAAATTTAAATGCTAACAATAAAAGTCAAAAAAATAACAAGAATTAAACTTTGAACAATGAAATTAGTGATGGAAGTGATGATTGTCTCAAAAGCGAATTTCAGTTGTGCGTTCTCTTTGCTGGTTGGAGAAATGTGAAAGAGCAGAAAAACTTGTACCCTATTTACCACACTTGCTTTTCTTCTGTATGAATTCTTAGGTGTCTTGTGATATAGCTAAGTTCCCTAAACAATTTGCCACAATTGTCACACTTATAAGGTTTTTCACTAGTATGAATTTTATGGTGTCTCCGTAAACAGTAAGCCAGAGAGAAACATCTACCACATTTGTCACACTTGTAAGGTTTTTCTCCTGTATGAGTTCTAATGTGATTTCTTAAAGTGCTCCGTAGTCCAAAATGGATACCACATATGTCACACCTGTACGGCCGTTCTTTTTTATGAGAATTTTGGTGTTTCAGTAAAGTGGAAAATTCTAAGAAACATTTACCACATTCTTCACACTTATTAATATTTTTTCCTGTGTGCATTTTATGGTGGTTCTTTAAACCTGAGTTATGTCTGAAACATTTACCACAAGTGACACACTTGTAAGGCTTTTCACCTGTATGAATTCTATAATGCTTCTTTAAACCTGAGGAATAAAAGAAACATTTCCCACAATTGACACACTTGTAAGGCTTTTCTCCTGTATGAGTTCTATTGTGTGCCTGTAAAATGGACAAGAATGCAAAACATTTACCACACTTATCACACCTGTAAGGCTTTTCTCTTGTATGAATTTTACAGTGGTTCTGTAAATAGTCCAGGAGTTTAAAACATTTACCACATTTTTCACACATGTAAGGCTTTTTACCAGTATGGATTGCTTGGTGTTTCCGTAAACTTTTTTTTTGTTTGAAACATTTACCACATTTGCCACACTTGTGAGGCTTTTCACATGTATGAATTATAATGTGTGCCTGAAACTTTGAGAGCTCCATGAAGCATTTGCCACATTTGTCACACTTATGAGGGTGAGTATGAATTCTTAAGTGGATTTGTAGATTGCTATTCAATGCAAAAGATTTACCACATTTGTCACAACTGTATGGTAATTTAACTGTATGAATTCTAAGGTGGTTATTTAAAGAAAGACTTGTTGTGAAACATTTGCAACATTTCTCACACTTGTAAGTCTTTTCTCTCATATGAACTTTAAGGTGTCTCTTTAAATAACAAAATTCTGTGAAAACTTTACCACATGTGTCACACTTATAAGGTTTTATTCCAGTATGAATCCTTAAGTGTGTCCGTAAGTGTGATGAATCTTTGAAATATTTACCACATTTGACACACTTGAAAGGCCTTTCTCCTGTATGAACTCTGTGGTGTCTCAGTAAACTGCTACATTCTGTGAAACCTTTACCACATGTGCCACATTTGTAATGTTTTTCTCCTGTATGATATCTATGGTGATTCTTTAAATATGAGAATTGTGTGAAGCATTTACCACATGTGTCACACTTGTAAGTCTTTTCTCCTGTATGAATTATATGATGCTTCTTTAAACTTGCAAGCTGTGTGAAACATTTCCCACAAGTGATACACTTGTAAGGCCTTTCTCCTGTGTGAATTACATTGTGATTCTTTAAACCAGAGAAAGATGTGAAACATGTCCCACAAGTGATACACTTGTAAGGCTTTTCTCCTGTGTGAATTACATTGTGGCTCTTTAAACCAGAGGAAGATGTGAAACATTTCCCACAAGTGACACACTTGTAAGGCTTTTCTCCTGTATGAATTCTATTGTGTGCCTTTAAAATGGACAAGAATGCAAAACATTTACCACACTTGTCACATATGTAAGGCTTATCTCCTGAATGAATTTTACAGTGGTTCTGTAAATAGTCCAGGAGTTTAAAACATTTACCACATTTGTCACACATGTAAGGCTTTTCAACAGTATGGATTCTATGGTGTTCCTGTAAAGATTTTATTTTTGTGAAACGTTTATCACATTTGTTACAGTAGTAATGCTTTTCTGCCATATGAACTTTACAGTGGTTCTGTAAATAGGTGAGGAGTTTAAAACATTTACCACATTTTTCACACATGTAAGGCTTTTCACCAGTATGGATTGCTTGGTGTTTCTGTAAAGTTTTTGTTTCTTTGAAACATTTACCACATTTATCACACTTGAAAGGCTTTTCACATTTATAAATTCCACAGTGTTTCTGAAACTTTGAGAGCTCCATGAAGCATTTTCCACATTTGTCACACTTATGAGGTTTAGTATGAATTGTAGAGTGGATCTGTAGACTGCTCTTCAATGCAAAAGATTTACCACATTTGTCACAACTGTATGGTAATTCACCTGTGTGAATTCTAAGGTGGTTGTTTAAAGATTGACTTGTTGATAAACATTTACCACATTTGTCACACTTGTAAGGCTTTTCTAAATTTTGATTTCTAAGGTGCATTTTTAACTGAGTAAGCATTAAAAAATGTTTATCACAGTTGTCACACTTGTAATGTTTATCTATTGAATGCATTTTAATGTGTCTCTTAAGACAGTCTTGATTTTTAAACCATTTAGAACATTTGACACAATTGTAAATCTTTTCTGCCATATGAATTTTAACGTGTCTCTTTAAATCCCAAAACTCTGTGAAATCTTTACCACATGTGTCACACTTATAAGGTTTTATTCCTGTATGAATCCTTAAATGTTTTCGTAAGTTTGATGTATCTTTGAAATATTTACCACATTTGACACACTTGAAAGGCCTTTCTCCTGTATGAATTCTGTTGTGTGTCAGTAAACTGTTACATCCTGTGAAACTTTTACCACATGTGCCACATTTGTAAGGTTTTTCTCCAGTGTGAAATCTATGATGACTCTTTAAATTTGAGTTTTGCCTAAAGCACTGACCACATATGTCACATTTGTAAGGCTTTTCTCCTGTATGAATTAGAAGGTGTCTCTGTAAACTTGAAAACTGCAAAAAACATTTGCTGCATGTTTCACAAGTATAAGGCTTTAATCCTGTATGAGTTTTAAGGTGTTTTTTTATTTGGAAGAGCTTTGCAAAACATTTACCACATATGTCACACTTGTAAGACTGTTTTTTCATAAAAATTGTAAGATAATGATGAAAACTAGATGGCTGGAAAGAATGTTCACTATTCTTAGAAGCAAGACCTTGACTCCAATTAGCAATTTCTTCTCCTCCATGTTTGGATTTCATATGTGCCTTCAAAAAGGAAACATTTGAAAATGCCACTCTGCAATATTGACACTGATAGAGATCTGTAAAATAATATTATTAATTGAAATTTGTTGACATTTTAGTTTCTAGTAAGCTTAATATATAATACTGTGATGCCAATAATCATGTGTCATTGTATTTGAAATAAAAAGTGTTATTCTATTATGCTTTTAGTGACTACTTCAAATAGTGGACACAGTGATGACTAACTGCTACAGTATACACAGTGATGACTGATATAAAGGCCACAATGATGGCTGATAAATTGGACATATTGAAGACTGACTGATACAGTGGACACTGTGATGACAGATACAGTGGACACTGTGATGACAGATATTGTGGACACAGTGGTGACTGATATAGTGAACAGAGGTGACTGATACAGTGACACAGTAATGACATTAGACATGACAAATGAACTACATACTAAGATTAGGATAAAAAATCAGATGATGGGGATTAGGACATATCAGCACTTTTTTCTGTGTTTGGTACATTCAAAAGAAGGTCTAAGTTGTGTTCCCATAGAAAATACAGTCTAAAACCATACTCAAAATATACTTTTGTGTTGTGTTTATGTGTGAAAATTATAAAAATAATTGTTATAAATATTGCCATGATAGTAGTTAATAAATTTTACAGTTTATTCCTAATTTGTAAATAACAAATTTTTGGTAAAAATGTCCTACATTCTTGACAGTATTTATAAGTAGCAATATAAATTTGGGCCATTAAAAATTAACTAAACTAAATTATCTTTGACATAAGCTTTAAGTGTGCCAAAAGCAATAAAACAACACATTGTTTAATACAAAATTTCATTCAGAACTTAATTCCGTAAATAAGGGGTTAAACAAAAATAAAGCTAACAATCTTATGCAACACTCTAGATAAGATGTATGTGCTGGATGAATTTGCCCAGTGTAAAGAAAAAGAGTATGCATGAAACACAGTCATTGATCACCTCAAACTCAACATGCATACAAAACTTTAAATAATTGATGAAATTAATTTACCACTAGCATTGCTCTCCATTTTGATCAAACTGTTCTTGTTTACAACACCAACCCTCTGTAAATAAATGCACAAGTCTCTGGCATAGCTGTCACCACAGTACACCTGAAAATGTCAGAATACTGTTTTATACTAGTCAACTCAAACAAGGCTGTCACCATATTATTTACAAGATGGTTTTGTATTTCAAAAGTCTCATGTCAAGTTGGTGGGCATGTGTATGTTGAGGTACCACACAAAACAGCATCGGAAATTATCTGGTAACATTTATTGTGTTTCGAATATATTAGTTACTATATTTTATGTGACTAATTAAATATAAATAAAGTAGAGTGTACTAATTAATGTTTTAAGTTCAATCTACATAAAGAAACAGAAATCAAAACTTTGTGCCACAAAAGTCAAGTGTAGTGATTCATATTTTTTTAAGGAGCACAGAAATAAAATCTCCAGAAAATTTCAACTATTAGAATCAACCTAGATCTAATAAAAAAGACTACAACAATGATTAGGAAAAGTGGATTAGCAACAATGATTACCAGTAACACTAAAAATGCTTTTCAATAGAAAATTAGCAAAAAATGTACTTAACATATATATATAAGTAAATGTTTAAATTGCACATATATATAAGTAAATGTTTAAATTTTTAATTTTAACTATTACTAAAAGATCTCGCCAAATAAATTATGATTTACAGTACTTTCAGTATATTCCAGAATGGTGTGGCAGACTGTACACTGTTATTTACATTTTATTGTTGCTCAACCATTCCGGAATAATAACCAAAGCTATTTCAGACGATTACCAAATGTTCTGTGCTTGTAACTTTGTATTCTTTTTATCTATTTTAATCAGTAGTTATTTTATATTTTGAAAATTTACTTTTTTAATGTGTAGATTTAGATCTTTGATTTATCCATTGAAAAGACAGGGCTAGCTCTCCTAATCATGTCAACTTGAAAAGAAAACATATTCATTTGATCTGGCTAGACAGTTGTTTATTATTTAAATTAATATATTAATTTATTTCTATTTCATCTAGCTACATCTAGATCTAGAAGTAGATTAGATCTAGAATCAATAGAGTACAAAAGACTAGATTGTCACTAGATTCTAGAATCAGAAACATCGAGAACTAGAAATCTGGATAGTCTGAATATACAAGATCTACTATTTATTTAACTATATATAGTAGATATAGTTAAATAAATAGTAGATCTAGTAAATACCTAGATTCTGTCTATAATGACTCTATACTATCTAGATCTATAGATCTATGACTAGATCTAGCTCTAGCTAGTAGCTAGAATCTAGTCTAGATCATAAGATTTTAGTAGACGTCTATTTTCTAGATATTTAACGACACGAAAAACAATCACCAAAGTATAATTAGATTCTTTGCTGAAGACTCCAGCTGCGGAGATTATTAATTAATATTAAAATTATAGTATGGTTTAAAGTTTAAACATTTTTTTGAACGTTGTAGAAGCGCCATAACTTGCCTTCTTATGTACTCGCTACGTTTAGATCGCTACTCGGAACCATGGCAAACGTGACATTCTTGACCGAATCCGTAAAGCTATCGATAGATAATGTTAATTTGTTCATTATAGGCAGACTATAAGCATGCTTGTTTAAGAATTATTTTAATTGTAATTAGGTTTCTGTTTTACGTTTATCAAATAAAATATGTGTTAAACCTTCTTAATATAAATCTACAAAATATTTCATAATCAATTATGGCATTTGGTAATCGATACTTATTGTACACTCGAAATTGGACTGTCGATTTCTTTTATTTTAAAGGGATGTAACTTTTAAGGCAGGGGTTCCCAACCTTTTTTACTTTTTCGTATATACGAAGTATAGAGAAAGTATTGTAATCGTGCAAAAAAAAATCGAGATTTTTACAAATCTCGACGTTTTACATCTCACTGATACGGAAAAACATAATTTTGCAATCTTGTCCGTATGTCTGTGTGTCTGTCTTTCTGTCTGTCTGTGTGTAAACACGATAACTTGAGTACCGTTACAGCTAAGTTGATGAAATTTCAAATATAAGTATTTTATCAAAATCGTAGATCCGTATCAACTTTTGAGCGGTTTCTGATAACCGGAATTGGTACTTTTCCTACTTTGAAATTTTCAAAAGCCTATAACTTGAGTACTATTTCAGATAGATAAACGAAATTTCACATGTAAGTAAAAGATCTAATTCTCTACCTTCTGTTAAATTTTGAGTAATTTCCGTTGAACGGAAGTAGTAATTTACGCTACTTCCCATTTCTCAAAAAACTAATGTAAATTTTTAAAGTACTAATAATATTGAGCACTATTATGCACTTTTTTATTTAGCGTTCACTTGGTGTGCAATTCTTTTGTCTACGAGATTTTATTCTATTTTTACAACTTTAAGTATTTAAAATGGATTAAAAATCATGTCTATAGCCCGAGTTCCCATCCCCTGTTATTTTATATAAAAATATTCGAGAAAGTTTAGGGGAGATCACTCCCGGTTTATTTACTCTAGAGCACATTCTAAAATATCGGTAGGGTGGCGGGCACCACCTATTTTAAATCGACAAACTCCTTCCAGAGGCGTAGCGACCCTTCCCGTCACCCGGGGACAAAACTTTCGATTTGCAACCCACCCCCCCCCCCCCTAAAATTTTCGATTTGCACCCCCCTCAAACTTTCGATTTGCACCCCACCCCCACTCAAATTTTCGATTTGCACACCCCCCCCCCCCCTCAAACTTTCGATTTCCATCCCCTTCAACCTTTCAATAATGTTTATGAAAAAAATTCTGACTCTATCGAATAGTGAGAGGCGGGCACATACGAATCGTTCGGCGGGCGCCATGGCGCCCGCGGGCACGGGGTTGGGAACCCCTGTTTTAAGGAATACTAGCAGCAGATACCCGGCGCTGTCTGGGTTTTGGGAATATCAACCATCTTTTTTTTTCTTTTTAAATTAAATTTTAAATGCAAATATGGACAATTTAGAAAATATTATTAACCCTAATCATAACCATATTTCTAAGCGCAACCATAACCCCAACCTTACCTCCATCACTGTCGACTGTTGGTACATGGCGAGACGCGAAATGGCGAGGCAACGAATCTACTTGCGGAATCACGGGTATATTTTTGAAAATCTACATCTAGATCTATATTTTAACTAGCCGTCCCGGCCAGGCCCTGCTTTGGCTTCTGTGAAAAACCTTTTTGTTAAAGACCATTACCTGTGTGTGTAGTAATCATCATAAACCCGGCATTGCCCACCCAAACCACAACCAACCACAAAACAACAAAACGCAAACATAACGCTAACACAATTACAAATACAAACGAAAACAAAAACCTAACAACAAACCCAACCACAACCACAAACACCAATACAAACACAAAGAAAAAACAAACAAAAAAGCAAACGAAAACAAAAACCTAACAACAAACCCAACCACAACCACAAACACCAATACAAACACAAAGAAAAAACAAACAAAAAAGCAAACGAAAACAAAAACCTAACAACAAACCCAACCACAACCACAAACACCAATACAAACACAAAGAAAAAACAAACAAAAAAGGAAACGAAAACAAAAACCTAACAACAAACCCAACCACAAACACCAATACCAACACACACAAAAAAGCCAACGAAAACAAACCAAATCCAAACGCAAAACCAACCAAAAACACAAGTACAAACCCAAAGAAAAAAACACAAACAAAAACGAAAAAAGAAAGAACAAAAACGAACCAAATCAAAACGCAACCACTAACGCAAACCCACCTAAATACAAAGAAAACACTAACGCGAACATAAACGCCCGGGACGGAATCACCTGTTTTAGCTTAATGAACGACTATAGTACCCCAACTTATTCATAGTCTTTTGCACTCACTTAAACGAACGCGCCTGTTTCAATTTAATGAACAATTATAATACTCCAAGCTTATCCGTAAAATACCTACAACATTTGCACTTGATCAATCC